GAATTGCATTTGCCTCACTCCTCTAACACAGGTATTTAAACCTGTTTTGGGCTGCCAGTGAAAGACATCTGATGATCTTAATCTACTCCCCAGAGAGAGCAAAGCCAAGGAACAAACTCACTTGATTACCAGGTTCTGTGCAAGATACTGAAACTGGTATTAAAAAACACATTTTCCTGTACAGGGGAGCTGACTCCTTTGGCATATTTAGGAGTATGTAAAAAATTGGGATTCTTGGCCACAGGGCTGGCAGATCAAAAAAGGTGAATTTTAAAGCTCCCGGCACTTGGAACATCACTCAAGGGCTTTCACAAGTTGTTTCTCCCAACATTGCACTGTTATTTTGGCAAATTGTGTTTACCTCAAGGCAGGAATACTGAGCTATGCTGAACAACCCCAGTGCTGGATGCCAAATCCATCACTAAACCACGTCCCCAGGTGCCACATCTACACAGCTTTTAGATACCTCCAAGGATGGTGACTCAACCACATCCCTGGGCAGCCCATTCCAGTGCTTGACAACTCTTATGGTGAAGGAATTTTTTCTAAATCCCAACCTGAATCTCCCTTGGTACAAATTGAGGCCACTTCCTCTCATCCCATCACTTGATACCTGATATACACTGATGCCCCCAATCTCTTTCCAGGCAGTGTAGGCAGCAGCAAGGTCCTCCCTCAGTCTCCTTTTCTCCAGGATAGACACCCCCAGCTCTAGTAAATACATTTGCAGTTCCTGTTACTCATGGAAGAAGTTTTGAAAAATTGAAATGCTATGGAGGAGCTCTTCAAAGGGAACAGCAAAATCATCTCTGGTAAAAAGCCATGAGGCTTCACTGAGCCTGGGAAGGACTGAGCCCACAGGATGCCACTGATGCCAAGAGAAGATGGAATTATTATCACTATTTACATAATCAGCTATGCTAAGAGAAGATACTGCAAAAGCAGCAAAAGCACTACTAATTGTATTATTCTAAACTTAAGTGTTCTCAACCCAACATGGAAATCTCCATGGGAATTTTCCTGTGGTTTTTTTTGTTGTTTTTTTTTTTTTTTAATCAGCTAAATTATAACCCTCCAAAAAACTCTGGGCAAATGACAGCTTATTTTTCAAGAAGACTACTATACAAATGGATGGGTGAAATACCAAGATCATTTCCATGGAATTTATTCCCATTTCCCATCCTAATTACTGATGGATTAGTTAGTGTCACTGGAATTATAATCATTTGCCTAAGTAGCAGGTTTTTAAATAATGATGGGAATTGCATTCAGAAGCTGCTCTTGCACACATTATTTATACATAGTGTGTGTCTGTTTACGCTCCACACATGAGTGGCTATTTTGTCCCTGGAGATCCTCGATAACACGGTAACAAGGATCCTACAAGCACATCCACACGTTCAGCTCTTCTCACTTGCAAACATTTCCCTTTACAGGGCTATCACCACGTCTGCCAGCTGCTGCCCTGCTGCATTTCACACTCCCTCTCACCCTGCACAGGCACTGCACGGCCCATGCAGGGGGCTGCTCGTTCCAGCAGTGTCAGCTCCCTCTCCACCTTCAGAAAAAACAGGAAAAAACCTCCTTCCAGCCTCAGTGAGGGTGGGCTGGTTGGCTGCAGCCCAACTCTGATGCCCAAGCAAACATTTCTCATGATCCCCTGCAAGCCACTGCTCCTCCCCAGGTGACACTGATGCCTTGAGAAGGCTGACCTAGACCAGAGGCTGGGCAGAGCTCAAGAGTAAAGCAGGGATTTATTAGAAGCCTCCATGGATCCACCTTGGGCAGCACAAAAGCCCAGCCAGGGATACACCCAAGATGAACCAAAATGGTCACAAAATGGACAACTGGCCACAAGGTCTCACACTTTTACAAGTTCTGCTCCATTTGCATATTGGAGTTCATTGTCCAATTGAGCTTTAGCCCATGCAGTCCCATCCTTCTTGTTTTTTCTCTTCAGCCCACATTGCTTCTGCTCTTGGGCCTGAAATTTGGATCATTTGTCCTTAGTCCCCAGCTAGAGCAGGAATTGTTTTGTCTCCCTGCTCTGTGCAGAGAGCTCACCATCCCCTCATATGACCAGACCCACACACTAAAGCATCACAGAATGTGAAAAATGTAAAAGCTAAAACCTGAGGCATCAGCACCATTTCAGCCACTTGGGGATATTTTCCTCCTTTCCTCTTTGAGCAGTTTCAGTCTCAGCATGGCTTCCAAAAGGCTATGAGCTTTTTTCTTTTTTAGTAATTCATCTGCACAAACAGAAACACTTTGTACTACACACAAGGAAGCCTTCTGGAAGAGGCCAGGCATCACCAACTTGTCATGGCTATGCTGTTTTTAGCTGCCTGATTGCTTTTCCCCCTTCAAAAATAAACAGAAATTATCTGGAGGAGAGAAGGAGATTTGTTTTCAAACTAAACCAATTTCTCCACATCTCTGCCATCTGCAATCTCCCACTGCACCAGGGTAAGAGAGCAATGCTCAGGCTGTGCCCAGCAGGCTCCAAAAGCTGGGTGGGTACAGATCCAGGTGAGACACTGGGCTCTCTGCCCATCCCATCCCCTCATCTCCACCAGCCCTGGACCAGACTGCGAGACCAAAATCCTGCAAGAAACTCTTCCCTAAGCTCACCCCTGCCAGCAACACCCCCTCTGTTTGACCAAATACTCAGCCTTTTGAAGCTTTTCCCAAGTTCTGAAGTGTTCACCTTCACAATCACTTTGGCCAGCGTAAAAATCTTGGTTTAACTCTCATAGGACCCCAGAGTAACAACTGAACCTAAAATTAAGCCATTTCTCCTCCTCATAGAGTAAAAAAGAGCTCAAGTGTAACAGTCCTGCTCAGCCCAGAGTGGTTCATCAAGCCTTAGAACCACGTTGTGCCATGGCTGGGGCTGTCCATGGACATCCACCACCCTGGAACTGGGAAGGGTGGTTGGATGTGTAACCCTCGTGTCTGCCTGGGAGAGGAGGTCAAGGAGAGATTAACAGAACAGCCACAAAGGGAAATCAGCCACTAAACTCCTGCCAAAAGCCACAGGGAACTGGGTGATTAATGCTTTGAAAATCCTCCTTACCAATCAGGGGCCATTCTAAGGACCAAGATAGGTTCAAAACACCCACAATTAGAGGGAAATTTATATTCAGTTATTGGGGAAGCAGGTTTGTACTTGCTGAAAGCTCAGAAAATTATCTCTTTTTACTGTTCTTGTATTACTTCCTTTCTTTTTTCTTGGAAAATGGGCCCATTTTGAACAGCAGCAACTCATTGTTCCAGGATGGAGCAATATGAAAGAACATCACTGCTCCCATTTCACAGGGACCACAACAGGAGGCACCAAGGGCTCTGAGGGCACCTTTCCTGCAGTGGAGAGAGGATTACATCCTGGGAACAGAGAGCCCCTGTTCCAGCCACAGCTAATAAATAATACTCTTACATATGTAGGCAGCAGGTACAGAATCCTGGCAGGAGTCCTGCTGTGGTAATGCCCAAGTGTGACAGGAAACCTGAACAATCATTTAACTTGGGATGTAGAAGCAACAGGTCCCCACTTCAGTGCAATATTCCAACAAGTTTGGTAAAAACACCAGAGACTGCTTGAAAATAATTTTGCCTGTCTCTAGAAAAAAATAAAAACCAAACCAAAAAAAAGACTTTTTGAAGTTTGTGCATGTGATGTGAGTTCATTTTTTTCAAAGGGGCAGCATGACAGCTGTGCTGGAGATAATCAAGATACCCCGGGGCAATTATGTTTTAATGCTGTGACAGTGGGGATGTTTATCAGCCTCCCTGTTACAGGCACATATTTCTTGGCAAAATCTTTGCTAATAAGGAACAAGGGATATCATCATTTCTTTGGAGAATATTTTATAGGGTTTTTTTTCTGTTGTTTGAAACAACAGCACCCTACTCCATGTGAAGCAACTGGTACTACAGTTAGAAGCTACAGTAGGTAGAAAAAAGGAAGCTTTGCAGACACTTCTGCCTTATGCAAACTGAAGAACAAGCATGACAGCAGGCACTGCTACAGAAGGCACTCTGATTTCTCTGCCTGATTTTCTTTGGTGTCTCCAGAGTGGCCCCTGACTACCTCACATCTGGCAAATTACTAGTTTTCTCCAAATCCCAGGTAAGGGTGAGGGAGTGCCCCTGGCAAGATGGAAAATCTGAAGCACAGAGAAGCCAGGAATTTATTCACAGAAAATATGTTCCAGAAACAGATACTCAACCTCAGATTGGTTTTTCCACTATGCTATTTTTTTCTGTTGGCACACTGCAACTTCTTATTGGTTCACAAATATGTATGAGTGTGTCCTCCATGAAACCTGAACATTCAAGGTCTGTTTGGAGCAGATCTTGCTCAGGACATTCTTGTCCTGAGGCATGACTGTAGCTTGGGCTGCTACAACATCAAGAATGCAATGGACTGTACAGCACACCTCACTGTGAGCTACTCCCTAAGCCTAAAAGCTTACGCAATAATTATTAAAGTCATTAAAAGAAGAAAGTACATAATGAAATGCACTTTCCTGATACCCCAGAGCAGATCAGCAAAGAAAAGTTTTGGGCATTCTGGCAGCTCGTGAGCACAGTACAGTTGAGGGCAGAACTGCCATCCATCCACTCCCTGCACACTTGTGCTCCTGGTGCCAAATGCACACGGTCCTGCATTGCTTCTTACACTTCTCCTTCTCCAGTTCCATGAGAACTACCTGAACCCTTGATCACTTCTCATTGTGGTCTTGCAGAGAGAGAAACTGGGAGAACACGGGTCAGGGGTCAGTGGGATTGTGCCTGAGTGATGTCCTGGGGAACAGGGAGGGGGGAGCACCCAGCCCTGCCACTGTGACCCCCCTTCCTCCCCATCCCTTCCCAGCTGCACGAGTTCAAAATCATCTTTAGCCAGTCAGCATGGCAGAATATAAAGCAAAGCAAAAGGTCTACAGCACATCTACAGCAAAGCAGCAAGGGCACAGAATCCTACCAGCACACCTCACCTGCTCCAGTGGCCTGTGACTTCCAGATCCAAAGCCCCAACCAGCCCCAAGGGCTTCCAGCTCTCCTCCTTTCTCCCTGAAGGGCACCCACAGCAGCACAGAATGCAAGATCCAGCCAGTGCTGTTTTACATTCAATTTGTAAACTGACTACCCAAGGCAGAGGAGAATCAGCTTTCTTCAGCAACCAGAGGTGAAGTGATGCTCCATTTCCAGGTGTGCAGCCTCCTTCTCTTAAAGCTGCCCATGCCACACAAGCCTGCTCCTTCCCATGAAGCAGATTACACATTCCCACATCACAACCTGCACTGCCTCAACACAGCACCAGACTTCCTGCAAGAGAGAAGGGGAGCAAAATAAGGACCTCATGATGAAAGGTTCATGTTCTCAGTCTTCCCTCCCAGGACTGAGCTCAGACTTTGTGCCTGACACAGTCTGGCTTTATATGCAGGTCACTCAGTCATTCTTCTCACATGTACATCAGGTGCTCCTGGAAAATGTGGCCATTATCCATCAAGTCCTTAGCTTCAGTCAGCTTCCAGAGGAAGAGTAATAGATGCACTTGTGTTGTCACATCATTGTCCGAAATGTCAGGGTAAAAAGCCCTGAGCATTAACAACTCCCTAAGGAAATCAGCTCTTTTAAAAAAGTAGAATAGAGAGGGAAAAAAAAAAGAAGGAGAGAGACAGAAGAAAAGTGCAGAGCTTCCCTTTTCATCAGTGATGACTTGCACAGGAAAGTGCCCTGACCTGCTGCAGGCCAGCCAAGCACCCACACTGGCATCTGACTTCCACTTAGATTTACATTTTTCCTGGATAAAGCAACATGTGAACATGTTGGTTTTAATTCCCAGGATCCAGGAATGGTCTTCTCTTTGGACATCATGCATTAAAAGAGATGTATCAGTTTGAAGGGTGAGAGTAATCTCGTCCCAGGGCACCTGCATTGAGATTCAAGCAATGTGGAGAGGTGATAGTATCAGGCAGTGTAAATCTTCACAGACAGTAAAGGGAAAGGGGGGAAAAACAGAAAAGAGAAAGATGAAATCAAAGATGACAAGAAGCAGTAGTCAAAGTTAGGAGGAAGAGGAGGTCAGGCACCCAAACTAATCAAGGTGACACGGTGATATTTTCCTGGTGTGGTCAATCTCTGTGATCTGCTTTTAAAGGATTTGCTAAAGTTAAGTGACAACTACGTAAAGCTTCAAAGCTTTTAAGAGCAGGTAAAACACAAGCATGAACAAAGATATTTCTTTGCTGAAATATGAGGAAGAAAAGGGAAGCGAAATGAGAGGCAAAGCATACCCTGTCCTGAACAGTCTGAAGCTGAATTTTTTTACCTCTACTCACCAGTTCCTAAAAAACCCCCTGACCTGGGACTACAAACCCTGCAGAGGAGTTGCTGCCATTTCTGGAAAGCTTATGAAACTTATGGCACATATTTTTGCATTTGCAGCTGCAAGTACACAATATCAAAACCTCAAATGACAAAGATAATGTGCAGAAAATCCAAAAGTGCTTTGCCCTCTTCTCCTTAAGTACCCCTTTTACACAACCCCTCATCACAGCACAGTCTACACAGCCAAGAAAGATGCTCATAAAAAAATAGGAAATTAAGGCAAAGTTAGACAAGACCACAGGAATCTGTCTCAGAGATAAGAGCACCAGTTGTCACCTGCCCCAGATACATCCCTTCCCTCTCCAGACTCCAACAGGAGAGGCATGGCCACACTCTCAGCATTACATCCTACCTCCAGCTCCTTAATTGGGCTTGTGGATTACTAATAAGTAATTGATACACAGGAAATGAATGTGAAGCCACCACTGAGTGTGCTTCTGCATACAAATACGGGCAGCTGAATGCGCAGCAGCAGCAAACGCTGCAGTCCTGCCATTCCTGTGGCATTTCCAGTAGGAACGTGCTTAAAATACCTCAGCATAAAGTGTTTCACTTTGTACAAATGATGCTGCTGTGATTGCTCAATGCTTTTTTCAGTGAGGAAACTGCAGAGGGCTGAGGGGGTCAGACAAAACCCAAAGATAACGTGTTATGCAGACACTGCTCTGGATGAATATCAGGAGAAGAGAGAGACTTTAAGGGGCAACACAATAAGAAATCAAGATAAAGATTTATTTTGCGGCACACAAAGCCAAGTACACAGCTCTCCACGCATTCAGTCTTCAGGAACAATCTTCCTATTTTTTCCCTGACAGCCAAAGAAGGTCCCCAAAATAATCTCACTGCACAGCCTAAATTTGTACTTAATGCCAACTTTGTATCAAATTCCTCCACAGAGTAAGATGCAGCGCTGTAAATAGGCTCATTTTCGTTATTTTATCAAATTGCCTTAACTTTCTCTCTGCAGCATCCTCCAGGGCTGGCAACACGGAGACGTGCAGGAAATGTAAATCGCTCCCCTTTTGATATGATAACCGTGGCAGTGAAAGCATCCCAGAAATCAGCTCAGGATTATAGCTGAGAACTCGCTGAAAGCACTTGGCTGTGGCGTGGTGCCAGCAGGGGAAACTTCAGCTGGCAGGTCAGTGTGACACGGGCTCAGGGCTGGGGAAAGAGGAGCAATGTGCAACACCCAGCGACCTGGGGCTGCACAAACCCCAAAGCCAGCAGCCTCAGGGGCCATCTAGAATTAAAAGATGCAAACAGGTGCTAAAAACAAGTGTGTATTTATGTATGCAAATGCATGGGGGAGCTCAATTAAATATGAATAAGCACCTAGGAAAGCAACAGCCAGAGGCTGCAAGATAAAATCTACCTGCCAGACAAATACAGATGTGTGTGTATATATATATATAAACAACCACACACCAAAAAAAATTTCATTTCCTGCGCTGACCTATTTGTGGTTACAGAACATTATGACAATAATTATAATCATGTATCTTTCATTTAAATAATGTTTTCAGTTTCAAAGATTCAGAGGATGTTGGAATGCAAATAAAGATAATCAGGATGTGAAAATAATTGTTTTCCTAATGCCTTATTTTTCATGTGCAAATGCCACTGATAACAACTCCCAGCATTAACCCTGGGCCAGAACCCCACAGAATTCAGTAGTGCACAAACACTAAAAGAAAAAGCCGTCTGAACCCTGAGGAATTTGCAGATCTAACAGCAAAGAGACAGCAGATGGATATAGACAGAAATAATCAAGAGGTAGTAGTTAACAAGGCAGGAGTTAGTCTCAGCAAACCAAATCCCTGATTGCTGTGAGCCTCGTACAGGCACCACAACAAAGAGGAGTTTTGATCATTGATGCCCCACAACACACAAAGCTCAGCACATCCTTCATCTCCACCGCTGTGCTCCATCTGCTGCCTCCACACTGGATGGAACCCGTGCCTCCTCCTCCCACTGCACTCAGATTTTCCACACAGAAGCTCCCTGGGCCAAGGACTGTCATGTATGACCTCGCTCGCCAGCACTGAGCATAGCAGGGCTCAAACTAGGGCCACAGAGACTGATCAAATCATTTAGGGACAAAATTGATGATAATTCTTATCAATAACTAGTCCAACAGAGTATGAGCATGCATGCACGCAAGCCTAAAGGCAAAAGTCACACACACAAGCTCCATGTGAAACAATGGAGACATCTGAGCACCTTCTGATGGCTCTCACTGAGTCCACACTCCTCTTCCTCTCAGTATGAACCATGCAGGGGAGAGGAAGAGCAGCTGGCACACTGTGAGCTTGTGAAACTGAGACACACCATCAAGAAATGCATGTACTACACCCAATCTCAGCTGGAATCTCCAGAGGCACCACACTACACACCACAGTAATCAGAACTAGCCCAGCAGACTGGTAGCTGAGTGGTTATGATTAACAAGTGCCACAAAAATATTTAAAATGTTCTCAATCAGTCCTTTGTAACAGAGATGATGTCTGCAGGATACAGCATTCATGCCAGGAGGTTTTGTTTCAGCACTTTTGACTCAGTGACCTGCTTATTACAACACCCTTCAGACTAACTTTAAGGCAATAAAATATTTCATTTGTGTAACCAAACCTGTCTTTCATGACACAAGACCATTCCACACGGCTTTCAGGTTCTTAAAAGTCATGAGGTAGGGAAATAAAAGCTCTACAGCACCAATCCATCCCTTCCCCATGCCTAACCAGACCTGCATTGCAGGGAAGTTCTGCTCTTCCAGCCTCCACTTCCACAATGTAGTTCAAGGCAGATACATATTTTTATTATGTTGTGTCTGTTTGTTTGTTTCTTGCACATTCTTTTTTTCCTCCGTGGGCATCTCCCAAAAATCAAAAGCACCAAACAAGAAATACTGTTTATAGTCCGAGTTCAGGGAGCATTCACTCTGCAGTCAGGAGTGTTCCACAGCTAGGAATTAAATTATGTTTCCAGTAGGACACAGTGGAATGCAGGGTAGGAAGGCAGCCCCTACATAAAGACATGTTCAACAGGGCATCAGCTTCCACTTCCATGCTTTAATGCCCAACATGACCCGTTTTCCTCTGCAATTCAAACCTCAAAAGTGGAAAAGAAATGGCATGTAAATGGACCTTGCTTGCACTTTAAATCGCTGTTAGCAAATCTTAATCTCTTTAAGTCTAGCCATTTAAAATCAGGCCTATTTAACTTGCAAAGGTAGGTCAGCTTTTATTGATCACCCCTAATGCACTCTTAAAAAAATGAGAGCAGTGAGATACACAGCTCAGTTGATGAAGGCTCACTGGAAAAATATCTGGCAATATTTACAGCCTTCAAGCTATGCTGTTGTAAATGTGATTTCCATATTCCCCAGAATGCAGATTACAGGCTTGCCAGTTCACACTGCAAAGGGAAGAGAAAAGCTCTGCCACAGAGGAGGTGGATTACTCTGCATTGACTAAAAGCACACTATAAACTTCTAGAATACAGGCACAGCAGCCCAAACCCATTTAGTTCTCAGTTATCATTCCTTAATCTTTCTCCAGTGCAGTATTTTGAGCCTGGATCTCCAACTCAGAGTCCATGCTATGGCCAGAGTTTTGAACAAACAACAAAACAAACAAAAGAGTTTTGTTACAAACTACCGATGACATTTTTCCAGCTGCTATAGAAATAAGGTGGGTTATTGTTACTTATATTATGGCATCACCTAGAAGTGCTCATAATTAATCAGAGTTCCTTCTTCTACACCTCTCAGAGAAGGACCAGAGGAGAAGCAAGTTTTATTAAGGAAGTGCAGCATTTTCCACCCACATGGACAAGCTCAAACCAGACAGACTGGAAGGTCTAGATAGTTCTACTTGATAAGAGTGTTTTGCTTCCCTACTCTGGCTATTTGTGAAGGATTTCACTCTTGAACC